GCGAAACCTCGACGGACCATCCAAGGGGGGGCGGCAACGGGGCGGCGGCGCGGCGAAACCTGGACGGGCGGCGCCGCGGCGAAACCTCGGCGGACTCATCCGGGTGGGCGGCGGCAACGGGGCGGCGACGCGGCGAAACCTGACGTGCAAGCACTCTTTGTGGAGTGCTCTGGCGGTGGCACCCCGCATTACAATCTCTCCAGGTCGCACGAGAGCCTCATCGGACAAGGACGGGACGCGCAGATTTTTTGTTCACTGGGCTCGTAGGGGAGAGCAAAGAAGAGGATGATGGCGACGCCATGGTGGCGGATGTCGAGGGTGGCAGCATGGATGATAGGGGAGGGCAGCGAGGGGAGCACAAGCACAACGAGTAGGAAGACAAGCACGAGGAAAAGGAGGAAGAGTTGGAGGACGACGAGTACGAGGAAGAACGAAGCGGAGGAGGAGGACCGATGTAAGCCCAAAGCTCATCAACGATGTTGAAATACACACTCCATCCAAAACCCTTCTTCATAAAGCCCCATAGAAGGCCATTCTGACTGAGGGAATTGCCCGGGTGAAGGACAAGCGTGTGAACATCTTGGAGCGTGCCTAAACACCATTCTCAAGACTTCAACACAAACCTGACCGTTACTTCTTGGCGATCCAGAACCGTGCCAGAACACCATTCCTGGGACTTCAACACCACTAATCACTGTTGCGCCCTGGCAGTCCCCAATCATTCCAACACATCATTTCTGGTACGGCAACCATGGTAAACAATGCAACTTTTTTTTGTTAAACGAATGTGCGCGGCGCCAAGGCGGATAACCACATTTGGAAAACCACCCGCCTGCAATCTGTGATCCAATCCGCAGAAGTCTTGCAACTTGAAGAAACGAAGGTGCGCGGCTCCAAGGGGGAGAGGCACATTTTGAAAGCCACCCGCCTTCAATCCGTGAAGCTCTTGTAAGCTAAGAAAGAACAAACCAATGATCGCGGCACTAAAGGGAGAACCATCTTTTGAAAACGATCCGCCCTCAATCCGTCCAGCTCTGGCACATAAAAAACGAATGTGCGCGGCGCTGAGGCGAAAACCACATTTTGAAACATTCCACCCTCAATCCGTGAAGCTCGTGCAAATTCTAAGAAGAAAGAATGTGCGCGTCACTACGGCGGGGACCCCATTTTGAAAACGACCTGGGCTCAATCCGTGAAGCTCTGACATTTTTTCAAAGAAGCACTGTGCGCGGCGCTCAGGCGAGAACCACATTTTGAAAACGACTCGCCCTCAATCTGCGAAGCTCTTGCAAAAAAGAATGTGCGGTGCGCTAAATCGAGAATCACACTTCGAACAACCACCCGCCTTCCATCCGTGAAACTGTTGTCAGCTTTCGGGCATTAGGGTCATACATGGTGAAGAAATCTCAAGCGAAACGCCCAGCCCGCCCTTTCGACTGGCCTCGGGGTGCGACATGGAGAAGTTATCTATAAGGAGAAGGAGTGGAGGAGGAGAAAACCAATAATGAAGACGACGACGAAGGACGGCAAGGCACCCGACGAAAAGGACGTCGAAGAACAAAAGGGTCCTCGTGCTGTTTTGAAGCTACCATGGGGGCTGCTGGGGCTGTCTGGGGCTATCTTGGGGGCATCATGGTGGCCTCTTGAGGGCCTGTCGGGGCCCCTTTGGGGGCTGCTGGGGTCTTAAGCTTCTGTGGGGGCTCTCTCAAGCCATCTTGGCGCCATCTTGGGCTGTTTTGGGCCGTCTGGGTGCTCTCTTTGGCAACCCCGGGGCCTCTCAGGGCGCTCTCGGGGGCCCCTGGGTGCCTCTTGGGGGGCCCATCGAGACGCTTTTGGGGTTCCTTGGGGGGCCATCGAAAGCTCTCTTGGGTTCACTCTCGGGTCGTTTTGAAGCCCTCCGGGAACGATTCCAAGATAATGCTGGTACGCAGTCGTCTCCGGAACCGATTTTTCGAAGAATCTTCTGGCGAGGCTGCCATTTTCCAAAACCAGACCGGACAAAAACGGGAAGCGTCGTTGCGCCTACGAAGCCTGATGGAACGTCTCGTCCTGAGTTTTGAAATAGGCGGCTGGTCTGATGTGCTGGTCTGCCGAACTGTGTGCCGTGCTGTGTTGGTCAACTTGGCTGGTCTGCCGTGCTGGTCTGCACAACCGGCCTGCCGTGCTGGTCTGCCATGCTGGTCCGCTGGTATGGTATGGTATGGCGCGGCCGTAAACTACTCCGACGGTAAGACCCCGCATGGGAATCTGTTTCATTTGCCCTTGTTTTTTCCCATTCGCCTTCGCGGAGGCTCTCCTCCCGCTCTTTGTTGCGCCGCCTCTTCCTTGTCATCTTCGCCCTCCGTCTCCTTCTCTTTTTCGTCCTCCCCTCCTCCTCCTCCTCCTCCTTCCCCTCCCCTCCCCGTCCTTCTCATCTTCCCCCCCTCGCTATTCTCCCCGGTCTCCCTATATTATTAGATTCCCGCCTGTTTCCCCATGCGTCTCTTTTGCCCCCTGGCCGGGGCAAGTAGACTTTCCGTGGCGCCGTCGCCGCCGCGGCTGGCATGGGCGTGTCCACCGATGGCCACGCCGCGAAGCCGCTAGGACAGCCCCGCGGGCGAGGCCCTTGGGGCAACCACGCGAGCCGCTGGGGCGCGGGAGCCAACCGTTGGGACAACCCCGCAAGTCTCGAACAAGTCGCGGCGGCGCTCAGGCGGGGGGCAGCACGGAACGTGGCTTTGCCGCGAACTGCTCCGCCTCAGTCCTGGAGCTCGCAGCCACCTTAGCGAACTCCCGGGGCGCCTTCCGCAGGGACGCCGGCGGCCCGCGCTCCAAAAACTCTCGCGAAGGCGGCCGCAAGACCAGCATGTTCCGCATGCGCGTGGCGCGGGGGAGCATGACGTAAAAATGCAGCCACCACTGCTCTTTCGACATGCCCGTGCGACCAGCGTTCTCATCCCTGGTGCAATCGATGGTGACGCCTTTGCGCAACGTCTGGCCCTGCGACAGCGTGTGGGTCAAGTAGGGCGCGTGCGTCAGGCCTCAGGAGCCCAAAAGTGGCGACACTTATAGGTTTCCGATGACCCGTTCGGATTAATAACATGCTCTGCGGGCCCCATAGGGGAGGGGCTCCCCAAACGAGGCTCCAGCCTGAGACTCCCGCCATATTCGGGCCTCAGGATGGCCCGCTCGGATTAATAACATGAAATGCGGGCCCTATAGCGAGGGGGGCGCCCGCTTGAGATTTCGTCGCGATTCACTCACAAATGACGCTCCCGCCTGATACATCCTTCAAATCCCGGCTAGCCTAAAAGTGGCGACAATTACATGTTTCCGATGACAGGCTCGGATTAATAATATGATCCGCGGGCCCCATAATGGAGGGGCTCCCGCGTGATGCGCCCTCGCAATTCATTCACAGACGAGGCTGCCGCCTGATACTCCCGCTCTCAGAAGCCGAAAGGTGACGACAGTTACAAGTTTCCGATGACCCGTTCGGATTGATAATAAAGGTGCGGGCCCCATGGGGAGGGGGCTTCCGCTTGAGACTTCCTCGCAACTCCCTCGCACACGAGGCTCTATAGTCAGGATTCAGGAGCTTAGAAGCGACGACACTTACATGCTTCCGATGGCTCGCTCGGATTAGTAGTATGATCTGCGGGCCCCATATGGGGAGGGGTTCCCGCTTGAGACGTCCTCGCAATTCACACACAGACGAGGCTTCCGTCTGATACTTCCTCAAAATTCAAGCTTGAGGAGCTCTGGTAAGATGATCAGTTGAATTCAGTGACGCAATATGATGATAATGGTGGTTGTGATGATGAGGACGATCGATGGTCGATGGTGATGCTGATGATGATGATGCTTCTGCTGATGCGGATGATGATCACGATCGTGATGGGGTTGTGACAGTGTTGATGATAACGATGGTAGTGTATTTTGATGGCTGTGATGATGGTCGTGGCCATCTTGATGAGTGTGATCTGTGGTGGTGAAGGCAGCGGGTGAGTTGGGGTGACTGTGCGAGGTGTCCACCTCCTCGCGATCCGTCTGGCCCCTATGGGCCGCCAGGCATAGCAGAATACCGAAACCCCGACACAAACTGAATCCATAGTTTCTCTGATAAAGAAAACAAGACCCCCACTTAGGATCCGGGTAATTAGTGGTATGAATTGTTGGTCCGCTGTGCTGGTCTGCCTGTGCTGGTGTGCCTTGCTGGTCTACCGCGCTGGTCCACCATGCTGGTCTGAACCGTGGTCTGCGTGGCTGGTCTGCCGTGCTCGTCTGCCAAACTGGTCTTTGGCGTGCTCGTCTGTCTTGCTGGTCTGCCGTGCCGATCTGCCGTTCTGGTCTGCCGTGCTGGATTGCCGTGCTGATTCGCCACGCTGGTCTGCCGCGCTGGTGTGTCGTGCTGGTCTAAATCGTGCTGGTCTGCCGTGCTGGTCTGCAGTGCTGGTCGGCCGGCCTTGCTGGTCTGCCGTCCTGGCTAACCGTGCTGGTATGCCGTGCTGGTCTGCCTAGCTAGTCTGCCTAGCTGGTCTATCACGCTAATCTGCAATGCTGGTCTGAACCGCGCTGGTCTGCACTGCTGGTCTGCCGAACTGGTCTTTGCCGAATTGGCCTGGGCCGTGGGGCGCGATCCCATTCGCGAGGCTCACGGGCGCATCCACCCAGCGGGGGGGGTGGGGGGCCCGATGCTAGCATGGGGGCGGGGGGGGCCACCGCCCAAGGCCAGGCCCCTCCTGGGCCCGGTGCACATCCCTCCCTGGTCAAGCCAAGGGAAGCGTACACAGTGGAGGCCAGTCCACAAGAAACCTTCCACAAGAAACCCAACCCTGAGACCCCAGGACGTCCATTGATTTTGTGATGTGGGAACGTCACGCCTTCCGCAGCACAGTCCCCGAATTCCCAGGAAGCCCAGGACACCCTGGAGGCGAGCAGGGTGCTTCTTGGCATGGGCCCGCCCTCGTCGCCCGACCCCTTCGTCCAACCCGACCCTCCCCCGCACAGGGGCCGAGGTCCTCCACCAGCTCGCGCCACATCGCGACAGGATCCTCCGGCGCGCCGCCGGGCGCGCGGCCGCCCTCGTCGTCGCCGCCCCCGCCATCGCTGGCCGAGAGCCGCTGGCGGATGCGCTCCCTCTCGGAGTCAGTGCAAAGGCCGTCGGCCGCGGCGGGGTACCGCGCCGCGAAAGCTCGCAGGAACACGTCACCTTGCGAGGGGAGCGGAAAGGAGGGGGCCGGCCTAGGGGGGAAGCACTGGACTGCGATCGACGCCAGAACGGCGACAGGCAATCCATGGGGAACACTGGGCCAGTGCTCGTGGGCAGGTTGGCACATCCGGGCCCCGATCGGCGAGGGATGGGCGATCGGGGGTCCATGCCGCCCGCCCCACGGAGCCGGTCCCCCCGTCTGCGCCCCTGGCCTTGGGAGGGGTCCTCGCCCGGCGCGCCGGCGGGCATGCGCGCCGCGGCCAGCAGCGCCAGCGGGTGCGCGGGGCACGAGCCGCCCAACTTCTTCAGCAGCGCGCGGTGCAGGTCGAACTGCTCCACCGCCTGGTCCTTGTCTTTGGGCAGCAGCTCCAGCGCGTTCAAGAGGCGCAGGTAGCAGACGAGCACCTCCTTGGAGGGGTCCCCCACGGCTTTCTCCAGCTGTTTCTCGAGGACCTTCTTGCCGGCAAAAGTCGCTGCCTTCGGGTTCATGAACAGAAGCTTGTCCAACAGCTCTCGCTCCTTCGTGGGCTTCACGCCAGGAAGCTCCAGCGTCGTGCCATCCCATCCAGTGAAAAATGTGAGTTCCTCCGCCCATGTTTCACGCAACTCTTCGATCTTCACAACCTGCCTGACGCTGGCATTCGGACCACCTTCGGCAGCATGGTCGCCTGCTCCATCGGACGTCGTGTGTGGTTGATCAGCCAGAGCAGCGCCCGCAAGATCGCCCGAACCCTTGCCATGGACAAGCGGTTTTGCCCCGTTGGCTGGCTCGTCGTTCGCCGGGAAGCAGCGCGCTAAGCTCGCAGCAGCTGCGCCAGAGCCAACCGAGGATGCGAGCTGCTCGAGCTCGCTCTTGGACAAAGGGCCGACGCGGTGCGTCGCATACAACGGGAACGGGTCGAACACGACCAGACGGCTCAAGCCCTTCTCTTGAACGAACTCCACGCAATCGCAACCCTGTTCTCGCCACCTTTGTCCGCTCTTGTTTGCCCCCTTCTTCGGCGGCCACGTTGCCTTCTCCTCAGCTTTCAGAGCGCACACGTATCCGAACAGCAGTGTCTTGCAGGCATCACCCGAAATCTTCGCCGCCACGCCCTGCAAATTTCCCATTGTCGTTCGGTACACCTGGGAAAAGTCATACGCAGAAGGCATCTATACACCACCACCGTGCCAGGCCAGGGCCATCCTGGCCCTGGCATGGTGTATACGCCATCCTGGCCGAGGCCAGGAGGGTCTATACACCATCTTGGGGCTCAGGATGACCCTGGCCTGTCACGGTGGTGGTGTGTAGATGCCTTCGTCGGAAGTCAGTCGCTACCCCATCCGCCATCTGGGCGTAGGTGGTTTAGCAAATTCGTTCTTCCACCCTTCTTCTCCCCTTTCGGGTCCCCTCCCCGCTCCCGCTGGTCTCGACAGGGAGGGCGCGGCCCATAGAGAGGCGCTCCGCCAAAATGTGGCTCCGAGAAGGCCTCGGGTAGCCCAAGATGGTCTGCAGGATGACACAATGTATCCCCAGATGGCTCTAGATGGTTTCGAACATGCCTCCAAGAGGCCCCTAGCCTACCCCAAAAAGTTTCGAAATTGCCAAAGAGCCTCCCAAGAACGCCCCCGCGAGGCCCAACTCCTTCAATACCCTATCCAATTTCAATGTTTGTTTGGCTTCTCGCCTTTTCGCTCCCGATGGGCTCCTGAGGCCTCAACATAGCTCCAATATCTCTCAAAGGGATACCAAGAGGGACCAACCACGGATGTCTCCAAGACGGGCAACGAAGCGCCCAAGAACACCCCAACAGGGCCCCAATGAATGTGTTTGGCCTCCGACGGGGAGACTCTAATTGTGACCCCCCCTTTGCCCAAAGCCAACAAAGCACCCAATGCTTTTGAACAAGTTTGGCCTCTCGGGCAGGCTTTTGGGCCACGATGTCTCCTAGATGGTTCCATATGCTGAAGGATTGCCTCCAACACGACGCAAAAGTGGCCAACATGTGTCAACCTAGGCTCCACTATAACTCCAATATGCTCCAAGGCGGCTCCAAGAGGCCTTGGAGCATTCCAAGGACGCCCACTAGAGGCCCAAACCATGCAAAAATGACAGCTTGAGAAAAAGGTGCAACATTGTTGCGATTGCTGCGTATGTCAATGTGTTTTGGCTTCCCGCCTTTTCCGGCCGATTCGCTTCTGAAGCCTCAGAATGGCTCCAGCATCGCACAAGGGAACCCCCGAGAACGCCCAAGAACGGCCCAAGAAACGATGTGCCAGCCTCCGACGGGGGGGCTCTGATTGAGGACCCCCTTCCGCTCAAAGCCAAAAGCAGTGAACAGCCCCAAGATTCTAGGGGATTTTGGTAGCTCGGGGGCATCATTGGGAGGTTTTTGGGCACCTATTGCTCCAAGATGGCTCCAGACGCATTGCATGACCTCCAGGATTGCGCCATATGGTCCAAGACAGCCTCCAGCATACCTCCAAGATGGCTCCACGCGGCCTTGGAGCCTCCCAAGGACGCCTCCCCGAGAGGCCAAGATCCGTGAACGACCTGAGTGTGCATCACAGTTGCCTGATTCTTGTACTTTCGTTCCCGCTGGGCGTCTGAGGCCACAGGTGTCCCCAGGACTGCTCAAGAGCGCCCCACGACGGGCCCAGATGGGGGCCCCCCAGAGGCCCCCCCCGGGTGTTCCTCCAACTCCGCCTCCTTCTTCTCCTCCTCCCCTCCTCTTCTCCATCCTCTCCCCCCTCGGGGGCGGCCAAGAGGTGGGCATCCAAGAGGGGGGGGTGCATATCGTGGCCAGCGGCATGTGCGCGGCCCAAGGGGGGGCCAGGGATGCAATGAAATGAGAAGAGGCGCCATGAAATCTGGGGAAGTATCATGGCCCATGCCATGATATCCCCCTCCCCCTACTCATCACCCCCCTCTCTGCCGCCCCCGACCCCCTCCTCCCTCAGCGGCGTCATGACATGCCCGAGTGCCACCACACGTGCGGGCAGGCTTCCCCGCCGTGGCCCCCCGCCCCGCGGGCCGAGCAGGGCGGGCGCTTGGCGCGCGCGCGCGCCTGCGAGCGCCGGGCGGCCTCTGGCCGCGCAGAACGCCCCGGGACCGCCGAGATTCTCCCAGGACGCCCCACGAGGCATCCAAGTGGCCTCTGGCCTTTCTGCTCGCCCCCCTCCTGCCTGTCCTCCTCCTCCTCCTCCTCCTCCATTCCTTCTCCATCTCTTCTCCTTATGGATAACTCCTCTCTGCCTGGAGTCTGGAGAAGAAGCGCACGAGGAAGGCCAGGCATGCTATAGGACGGAAGGGCAGTGAGGACTGCGTGGGCAGCTCGCGCGTTCCTTCCGCGGCACCAGCTCTCGGCCGACCCCCGGGTCTGGATTGCCGAGCTTCCCGGGCCTTTGGAGCCTCCAGATGGCTCCATGTGATCTCGACATGGCCTCAGCATGGCGCGAGCGGGCTGGGATGGTCCCGAGAGAGACCCACGTGGCCACAAGAAGACCCAGAAGGCCCCCAATGCGTCCCAAAAGGGCGCCAAGGGGCCCTCCAAGACGGCCCAAACGAAGTCAAATGATCGATCTCCCGCTTTAGAATGCTTTTTTGGCGTTCTCGCCTTTTAGAGCTTCTGACAATACAGGACGGCCTGAGAGGCCTCCAAGATAATCCCAAGACGGCCCAAGAAGCTCCAAGATTACCAAATAACGCCAACCACACCCTAACGTATGTATCTCCATGACGTCCTCCGAAGGCATCAGACGGGCCAAGCCTCACAGCCTAGGAGGACCCCCACAAGATCCCCCAAAATCCCAAGAGGGACCCAAGAGACTGGAAAGAGGCCTCCTTGTCCCCACTCCCGCCTCCTTCACCTTCCTTCCTCTTCTCGTCCTCCCTCTTCCTCCCCCAGGCGGCCTAACGACATGCCCCACATGCGACATTTGTGGGCTCGTCTCCCGCAGAGGGACCCGTCGTGGCTTGCGCCCAGCTGGCCCAACTGTTACCACCGCCGCTGTTTCTGAAGCTACTCGTGTGATTGCTTCTGCCGCAATGGCTGTTTGGATCGGCGAGAGCAACGTCAATCGTCAATCCCTCTCCCACACATGTGGAAGCACGTGCGTGTGTAATGAATTTTACGCGAAGCATGCATGTGTAGATGAGCACAAGTACCCAATATCATACTGACGGGTTCATGTGAGGGTGATGTTGTACATAAGCTGATAAGCAAACACATCCGCAACCAACAGTGGCACATGGCCAACAACAATGTAGGTAGGCTAGTGCGCGAATGCACGCGCGTGCATGTCCAGAGGCTGAGGCGCATTCACGGACCCTTGAATGCTTGTATGTTTGTCGTGGTACGCCTCGCTTGTATTCGAACGTGCGCAACGGATTGCATTCAATCGCGCGCGCATGTGCGAACGTGCTACCGCAAGCCTGCAATGGATTTGAGTGTCCAGACAAGCACGGTTGGTACCTGACCTTGCGCGCACACCCTCCAGCACAAGGATCAGAGAAAACACGTCTTGAAGGACACCATACTCTCAACCGTCGAATCTGGTGTGAATGGCCGATGAAATGCTCCTCTTGCCCAGAAACTTGACCCGATTAGATTCGGAAGAGATCAACACTACTCTCGCCAAGCAAAGGCATATTTTTCTGGTATGCGGACCGGGCGCGAGAGCGCTGGGTGGGGGGTCCAACTTTTTATGGATTGGGGCCGAATCGAAGGGACGCAACGCATATGTACGGACAGCTCGAGATGTATGGGGGCCAACCTGACCCCTCTTCCTTCTCCTCCTCCTCGTCCGCCACATGTTTTCCCTCTTGTGCGCCACAGCTGCTTTAACATTATGCATGGGGCAACGTAGATTGGCTTGAGCCCTTGGACCTGTATTCCATTGAGCGTTGCGGCTTTCACAAAGCTTGCCGGCGAAGAAAACCCATCCGGCAACTTCTGCTCTTGCATTCCCGCGATCTCGTAGAACACTGGCAACCTCATCGGCAAACATAGCTGCCGGTCGAACTTGCCGCCAACTTTATCATTTGCTAAGAACTTGATGAGCTGTGTGGCGTTCGCCTTTGCCATCTTACGCTTAATTTCCACTGTGATCGGGAACTCTATCGCTTTCCCGCTGCGCTGGAGGCGCTGTACTGCAGAAACGATGCTCTCTGCCTTTACGGCTGGCCATGGCCAGAGCGCCTGAGGACCCGAAACAGAAACAACGTTCGGGTCGGGCAAAGGGGGGGATAGCAAAGGGGGGGGTTGAGAATCAGCTCACGCAGCTGATT